CAGCAACAACAACAACAACAACAACAACAACAACAACAACAACAACAACGCGGATGAGAAAGCAGACATGAACAACTTCCAAAAGAGGCAAAAAGTTCCCTTGTCTCCGTATCTCGAAATGAATAAGACTTATCTATAAATAAAAAAGTATTTTTAAAAAGAGCGGGGAAGATGTATAGCAAGCAAAGACAGGGTATCGAACGGGCCCTAGACAATTTGGCGAGGGCCCAAACCGACACGGCCCGAAGCGACTAATAAATACTTGATACCGGCAAGCGAGGAAGGAGGTCGGCAAAGAAAAACCGCGAGAACGCAAAAATAAAAACCATTTACAGGGTATGCAGGTGACGAGGTCGACCAGAAAAAAAAACCCAAGAATGTTTTTGTTTTAGAAAGCGTTTTCGGGTGCTCCATGAGATTTACAAACACAAAAAAGAAGGAGGCCAGATAAAGACGATCTTACAGATGTTTGATAGGAAAGAAGTAGCAAACCACATCAGAGCACTCGCCAACCACAAACACTCAAAGTTTAGGATCGCCAACTCCAAGCAGTGAGTGCCCACGCGAACTGACAACCAAACAGCAAACCAAGTGCATGTACTGCCGTGTACTCCCAAGCCTATCCAGTGCATGAAGCACTACGCACTTCGCAGTAAGTAAATTGGATCAACCCTAGGCAGGGAGATTTATAAATATTTTTTTTGTTAAGTGTTTTAGGGCGCTCGCAACTGCATAAGGTCATGTGAGCGAGCGGGACATATTAGACATTTTCAGTTGGAAGGAAATTTTGAATTTTGCCCGGCGGCTGGGAGAAGGAAGACCCAAAACTCTTCGGGAGCAAGGAGGACCTGAGGCGAACGGCAATCTTAGCACAACTAGAGACCGGGATGTCTATTTAAAAGTCAACGAGAGGAAAAAAAACATTTGGGTAACAGTGAATGGCACCCTCTCAGTACCCACGACACTTGGCAACAAGAAGGTTTTTTTTTATAGTTTTAGTAAGAGTTTTATGGCACTTGCAACACAATGAGGTCATATAAGTGCAGAAGATTAGAGGTGTTACAAGAGAATATCAAACACAAAAAAGATAAAGACGATAGATGTTTGATAGGAAAGAAGAAGCAAACCACACCAGAGCACCCGCCGACCAACATGAAGGTTTGGCTGAAAGGTTTTTACAAACTGACAAACATAATATTGTGAAATAAAAAGTCGGAATGCATGCATGATCAATAGCGTGCACTGAGAGCTTTACATCCAGTGCGCATCGGTACAAAGAACGAATTATAATGAATAACATTATATAAGCATCGCTCTGACAGATGATAGTGCTGGAAAGTACCCAAGCTAGATTACCTCTCTGTGAGCCGTTGTGGGCCGAGTGGAGGGGGGGGGCAACGCTAACACTCGATT